TGGTCAAAAAATGGCCTACCGGTCCCTTTAAGTTATCAATTGCATTCAAGAGAACATACCTTTAAGTCTAAGATGCCATGTTTTTCTTCATATATATAGGCTGCGTCTGCTCCTCCAGCCAGACCAGCTAGTGTTGCTAGGTAACCACAGAATCCTCCCATTGTCTCCACTATGAAGACCCGACGTTTGGTTCCAGTGGCAGATTGTTTAATTCTATCACAAATCTTAAAGGAAAAAACTTCTAAATAACATAACGTTTGGATTTTTCAACCCAGTTTCCCACCTGTCAGTGATGCAGGTCGAAGGGACTGGCTGGGTTAGACAAACTGACTGTCCAGACATAGCTTGAGATTATATGTTTGGGTTTTTCAACCCAGTTTCCCCCTGTCAGTGATGAAGGTAAGAGAGGCTGGCATGGAAAAGGCGTCTAGTTGTTTGGATGGGACAATAAACCAATACCCTGTGTGCTACAGGCTGTGCACGTTAAAGATCCTTCAACAGTTGAAAAGCGAAAAAGGGTAGGCTAATGCCGCTGTCCTGGCAAAATTTCCCTCATTGCACCCTGCATGGTGTCTGTCCAAGACCATGTGTGCTACAGGCTGTGTACGTTAAAGATCCCTCGACAGTCAGAATTGAAAAAGAGCAGGCTAATACCCCTGTGTTGAAATTGGGGCAGAGCCACATCAAATGTATATTTAGAATATCAAGGGATGTAACTCTGTCATTATTTATCAAATCATACCCAAATTCGAACTGGTCCTAGATCTTTTGAATATAACCCAATTCCTAAATTGTTGTCAAAAACTGTTGCTCTATTGCATTCACAAGCCATTTTCAATATATATTTAGAATATCAAGGGATGTAACTCTGTCATTATTCATCAAATCATACCCAAATTCGAACTGGTCCTAGATCTTGTGAATATAAACCTACACATAAAAAATCAGACAAAAACCTATTGCACACAATCGGACAAACAGGGGAGACAGCAATATACGCCCCACATTACAATGTGGGCGTATAAAAATCAAAATGGTAAACAAGTTGATGACTTACGTCAGTAATTTCATTGAGGGCCGTATCAGCCCCTAGGGAGAAGTCCGAACCAGGGATATTATTACTAATAGTACAAGGTACAACTGTTATAGGTATACAGAATGCTGGGTACCTATCTCGAGCTTGGGCTATCTGTAGACAACTGTGGAACGCCTGAAAATAGAATTATGGTATTTATATGGCATCCATTTTAACTTGGCATCCATTTTGCCAATCTTGATTATATTTTTTTTCCGATATTTTTCACTCCATTGTAATCTAACATGTTTTCTACTGCAGTCATGTCCTAATGATGTTTCTTTCAAAAAAACTCAACAATCTTTACATGACAATCTCTTCAGAGAGTTCACATTGCTAATTCATTCTCTTGACATCATTTTCAGAGAGTTCACATAGCTAAAAGTGTTTATTTGGTACGGTATTAAAGTTTGCCAACCTAGCATTCCCTTCAGAGAGTTCACATAGCTAATAATGTTTTCTTGGTCTATCTACAATCCTTCAGTGAGTTCGCATTGCAAATTTATTCTCTTGACATCGTTTTCAGAGAGTTCACGTCGCAAAAAATGCTTATTGTGTCATTAGGTTTGTCAACTTGGTATCCTTTTCAGAGAGTCCACATAGCTAAAAAAATTTATTTGGAATATCAATATGGCATTCCCTACAGAGAGTTTAAAATTACAAATTTCTAATAATAAATTGAAGACTAAGGTTACATGTCCAAAACTCACCTCAAATCCACCAATAATACACAAGCCTTCTATTTTATGTTCTTGAAGTTTGTGCGCGATTTTTCCCAACCCAGCTTCTTCAGCTAATTGTCTACAATAAAATTTTGGAAAGATTCAGCAAGTTTCTAGCTAGACATTGTTGTTAAAGGAACACTACCACTTAGAATGGACATAAAATTTCAAATCTGGTGTAATAATTATACATCAGAATCCCTGTACAATCACTAAATAAATGGAACTATGGTTCACCTTATCCAAATAGCTTCACATGAGACAATAAGTTTCAACCAATCAAAATGATCTTTTTCATACGAAAGGGGTTGCCCTTATTCATATAATATTCACTAGTTTTGTATGTGTTCAAATTTACAAAACAAAACATAAAAATGAAGTGTGTTGATTGGTTGACGTGGAAATCATGTGACTTCATGAATATTTATTATCTCAATCATACTTTTCTGCACCTGGTTAGGCAAATTTCGGTCCCAAAATCCGAGGCTAGGTAAAGGCAATAAGTTTTTCTGGCCCTACATCAGTGACATTCGTCAAAACAGTGTCAGAGACTATGAAAGAGTCATCAGGCAGATAAGTTAACTTACTTTCTGGTGCCAAGATAAGAACCTCCTTTTCCTGCCCAACCATGAACCTCAGTCCAAGACATTGGCGCTACCTGTAAAAGACAATCAAGGGATACTTTTTGAAATGAAATCATACTTTGAGTTTGCGTACAATTAGATAAAAATAAACTATAATCTTTGAATGTCATAAAATGTCAACTAAAGAATTGCTACGTAATCTACCAAAAGTGGGCAATGGGGCAATTTTTTATTTAAGAGAGCGCTGAGAGAGGGATGAGAG